ATGGATATATCTTAGCCTAATTCTAAATATGCAGTGTCACCCAAGCAATGAGCACCCCTACAGTTTTCGCATGACCTAAGAGCAGAGTTAATTGTTACACATTTTCATGTGTGAAGTGGTAATATGCCACCCCCCCTTTGACTGGTGTCTCTGCATCTGTGTAAGCAGTGACTAGCAAAGTAAAAAGACAACTACTTATTGATGCACTGCTCCTGAAATGTCTGCAGATGAGACTGTTCATCTGTGTGCAGGGATTAAAACCTGTTTCCATTAAGCTCAGTGATACGTCATTCCTGCTATAAAAAAAGAGAACTACCTTTGCTGAATTTCACTGTGGGGAATAGTAGTTTTGAGCATGCATCAAAAAACAAGTATGGAGTTAATAACTCCTGTTAGCAGCTTGGTTTCAGTTTGTTCTGTACTCTGACAACATAGGTCTTAGGCTGACTTATATCTGTATCAAGAAGAGTTCTCTCTTTGCATTGTTTAACCATAAAGGGGCACTTCATTTAAGTGACACTTAACTCCAGATAACTTGTGTTTTGCATAACCTAATGTGAGTCACTGACAACAGCAATAGTTACTGAACTCTTGTAATCAATCAAGAAATAATCCAGCTCTGCTTATTCCAAATGGTAGGAAAAAAATCAGTACCTAAATTTTAAATTACTTGACTTTTAGGTTTGAAGCATTATTCTGCCATCATAATTTCTAAACATGTACCAAAAAAATTAAGGAAATTAGTTTGTCTAGACCATCATAAGAAGTTAGGAGCCAGTAATTTTCTTAAACCTAGCATGTTGGAACATAGATGGTGGAGTTAGGAATGCCATATTTCGCAAGCTCTGCACTGAGAAAGAATAAAAAGTCAATGAAAACTCCATGCTGACCAAAGACACTTGGAGATAATTTTATTTCCAGTGCTGTTGATGACACCAAATCACCTGTCTTAAGCTGGTATATAGGAATTGAACAGTGAAAATGTTTTGTGAGGCCCTGTTCTGTCTGCCAGGTGTACCATAAGACACAAACAGCTACAGTGGCAGTTAACTGAGATTCCTAAAACAATCAATGCCCTCTTTAATGGTGAAGTTTGATTACTTTCAAGACCTTCCTTGAGGTGCAGCACTCCCATGTCATACACTGGGGCGGGTATTTGTGATCTTTCCTCTTTCCCATACTTTTCACATTTCTTTCCTTGCTTTAGGTAAGTGGCTTTCATTCTGAGGGTCTGTAGTCACCTAAGTTGACAGAAGCTTGTTCCTAAACAAACAAACAAAAAAAAACCCATGTAGTAATATAGAAGTTTATATGTAATAAGGGAAGTTCGTGATTGTTGCCAAGTGTGACTTTTCTGAGAAAAGTGGCAATATGAAGTATGGTTCAGAACAAATATTTGTTACCCCTTTATAGATGGAACAAGTCTTCAACGTCAATTGCTGTATCACTTCTCATTCCTACTATTTCTCCTTCCTTGCTACAGATGTCAACAGTCTGGGTGTTTCTTTCCTTACACTAAGTGGCTTTCAACTTAAGAGTCTGGAATCTTCCAATTCCTAAACAAGAACTTAAGTCTGACTTTTTGTTTGGGGTTTTTTAGCTCTACAAACTGCAGTAGTACCACAGCTTCAGTGGACATTTGAGAGGGGTCCTGAAAACCAAGAAGGTGGTTAATATTAGATGGGGTGGATGATCTAGCAGATTTTTTCTATATTTAAAATGTGTGTTGTGCTTATGCTGTACAAGTGCATTCACATTGGCCCCAAAAAATTATAAACTAGAACAGTATGAGAAATAGAGACCTTTAATATATACTACTGTGTTCTGCTTTTCATCTCCAAGGTCTCGATGCTTCAGTTCAGAGTTTGTATTTGCTTTTTCTATCCAATGGATTTGCTTTATAATTTAGGAACTATTATATTTTTTTTTTCCCCTCACAATTTCTACATTAACCTGGCACAATCAGACTATTTATTTGTGTTATTTCCATCACTTAAATAAAGGCCTAGACACTTACTTTGTGTCATCTCTCCTAGCATCTTTGTTTCACTGCCTGGAACATAGTAGGAACCAGGTCTCATAATACACAAGGTAGGACAGACTGATCCACTTTCCACTGAGCTTTCTTAGCTCTGCAGAACCAATAGGAAAAGTGGCAACAGCTGCTCTCGGAAAATAAATGAGCAAGAAAAAGTGATCCTTCTCTCATAAGTAAGTTTTCAGGATGGAGTAAGCTGAATTGATCAACTACTATGAAGTAGTTTTAGACTTCCACGTTTTGTAGCTGCAATATCACTGTGTCAGGACTTTACACCTAAAATTCACATGTGCATATTTAGACAACCAGAATATACGTGAAATGTTAATAAATAATACATAGCTGAGCATTTGTAGGGTGGCAGTCACTTTTGTCCTTCACGTGGCTAAGGTGCTGGAAGTATTGCAATGATACAACTAATGTTCTACAGCCAGTGAACGTGCCTGGAATTTGGGGCTACGTCGTTCCCTTGCTGGTCTCACACTCTTCCCCGGTGGTCTTCCCCATTGGTCTTCAGGCATCCAGCTGATACAGGCTGTAAAGTTCTGACTTGCAGTGTTTCAGTACCACCAGCTTCATGGTATGCTCATCAGAGATCTGAACTTCCTTCCGTTTTTCAACCAACATTTTTTTTTCTCCTGTGACATCAGACAACTGAAAGCAGCAATTTGAAAAAATTAGGCCACTCGGGTTTCTATATATAGCAGCTCTCAGATCCCAAGAAAGCCAGTACTTTCATCTAGTCTGTTTTTAGCTGTCAGTGTTTGTAAATTAATATTAACAGAGTTGGTCTTAAGTAGAATTTTAAGTGCCATCATGGGGTTTTTTTTCCTCCTTCTGCTTGCTATTTCCAGCCTTTTTTCTCTTTTTGGTGTTTTTATTTCAATTAAAAATAGTTGTCTGGTTTTCAGCCCCTTTGCTTTTTTCTTTATATTAATGATGAGTTGACCTTCAGCAAAGGGAATTGTGGTCATAACATTACTGAGAAGTGCCTGACTTGCATCAAAATCAGGCTGGTTTGATGTCAGGCGGGGGGACTAATTCCAGCTTTAGGGTTCTATGCATACCATTTCTCATAAATTAAACATTAGGATCTCCATATATTGAAGTGGTGGTTTGTTTTTTTTTTTTTTTTAATGAAACAAATTAATCTTTTATTGACAGCATGGGGGAAATGGGGAGGGGATTAAAGGAGTCAGTGACTGATAGAGTAGGAAAGGCAGAGTGTAACTGTATGGCAGATAGAAGAGTTTATGAAGTTAACTGCTTCCAGTTTATATATTTGCTCATAACATTGCTTGACTTCTTTTATATACAGCAGAAAAGGTAGGGCAAAAATAGTTTTAACAGGGGGTTTATGAATATAGTTTTATTTGTTTGATTTTGGTGACACCACACACCCCTACTCCCTCACCCTGAAAATACTGCTCTGTTTCTCCTCCAAAGATGCCACCTGAGTGTTCGTAGGTGCAAAAGTAGAGAACATACAGCAAAAAGCTATAGTTTCACTTTGCTGAGAAGTGGTGAAACAGGTTACCCTTACATGAGAGTTACGATCATCCTCTCGTCCTGCTGGCCTGGTAAAAGAGTGAGACCTAAAAATATTCTTTTGTAACATGGGATCACTGCGTGGAGAAGAAAGGAGTCAGTGATCTACTTTATTCACATTCTTCATATTTTATGCTGCCAGTTGAAAAAAATAATGCTTTCCATATGCATGGAGCAATACAATTCGCATTCATGAGGGTAGAATGGGGAACGTACTTGAGAATCTTGCATTTAATTTAAGCTTTCTTTGATTTGCTGTGTGCTTCTTAATTCATTTGTATATCTATGCTATTTTCACTCACAAGTGATTGAAATGAAGGAGGGATTTGAGAGCAGCAGCTTTGTACAGGGAATATGTTTTTCTCCATGGTGACAGGCTTCCCGTGTGACAATAGGCAGGTGCCCTGGTCCATGTCTCAGTCCCAGAGTTGTGCAGTGGGCTTCGGGGCAGCTCCCAGCCTCTCACACACGTGAAGAATCCTGTCTCTACCTGTGTGGCTCAGGGGGTCGGCTGGGGGAGCAGCTCTCTAAACACTTCTTGCCCTGGAAGACTGGCAAGTAATTATTATTAGAAAAATCTGACTCTTTACTTTTAGTATTTGAGATCAAAAATATTGTGACGAAGTTGCAGATGGCTACCCTTTAAACTCTCTGAAAGCTTAACAGTGTCTCACAAAGGATGCTCAAAGGCTAGTGTTGCAAGTTTGCTTTTTTTTTTTTTAATCTGCTCATTACTGGCTCTGCATTTGGATTTTTCTGATGTTATTCCTAGATCTAGGTGTTTGGTGGAATCTTAGCCTGTAGCCTGACCACAGAATTATAAATGTTAAATTTTCAGCTGAATAAACTTCTGGGTTTTGGCACAGATTAATACCCGTAGCTTTTGTCTGTCTGTTTAATGAGCTAGTCTTACCTACATACTGTCTGTCACTGGCACAGAAGGTTAGAGCCTGGCAATCCCATATCAGTCTGCCTTGGCCCTTTTTCTCTTGCACGTAACTATGGTGAGCATTATGGTGTCCAAGTGAAGTTCGTATGGCAGGCAAGTCCCACGTATGGTGCAGTGTCACTAAAAATACGTCTTAGGAATGCTCATTGGAGTGGCTACCAGCACACAGTAATTTTCTACGTACTGTGCAACCTTCCCTCAAAAGATACCTGATTTTTCTTTCATTAGTAGTTCACAGTGTATACCTAATAACATTGTTTCCTGTAACTGTTTTAGGTGATGTGCCTTGTCAAGAGGCAGATCAGCTTTTTTAATCACTGATGAAGTCTTTGATACCTTGTAGAATTATTCTGTTAAATTATATGTAGAAAACTAGAAGACTGTAGCTTCCACAGTAACAGCTTCTGTGCTTGTATCCAGGAGCAGTGGTCTTACATGGTGTATCAGTAAACTTCTCTCTTTCAGGCCACTGTCATGAGAAAAATCCAGATGGCAGTCATGACAAGGAGAAATACTTTGATGACCACCATGAGTCACTTACAGCAGTGGCAGAAGGACACTCTGAGGGAGGTACAGAAGATCCAGAAGTCCTTACTCAGAGTTCAGCAAGGGATCCCTCCTTCTTGAGACTGGAAAGTAAGTCGGCCTTACGAAATCAGTGCTGGCAAATGTATTGGTTTCTAGATTTTCAGAAGAGCTCTCTTCCTCCAAGAAGCCGTGTTTCCCCCCCGCTCTGTCTGTAAAGTGACAAGTAACCCTTAAAACTGGTTTCATTCTGTTAACTGTTCTTCTCCGAGTCTAACATCAAAATTCATTACATCAAAAAATGAGATCAAGGTTTAGGTGTTTTCCAAGCTAAAGGATGTAGTTTCTTGCAAGACTCTACAAACACATGTTGGTTGTACCTCAGTGAATTCTGTATCAGCTGTGCCAGACAGAAGGAAGAAAAAGTGTCTATGGTTAAGGTACAGAGCACTTTATTCAGTGTTTAATGCACATATGTAGAGAAAAGATGCCACCTGTTTATTCCCTCAAACGGGCAGAATTCTGGTTTGGAAAGGAAAGCGATGAAAGTGGGCTAGAGGTGTTGATTTTTGAAGCAACAGTTGATGCGTCTTTGCAGTGGGGAAGTCTGCATTCTCCAGTCCCCCTCTCCACTTGCAGCATGCAGTGAGTAGTCAACGATACTTGGTTTGTGCAAGTGGAAAAGTCAGATCACAGAAAAAAGATCCTTTTTATATGATTTGTGGGAGCAGCAGGAAGAGAATTTTTGAAGTTTTTATGGTATTCCCTCTTAGACGCAGTCACTGCAGAAAGCAACGGTTCAGAAGGAGTGGAGGGGTTAGAAGATGATCAGATGTCTGAAGAGATGCTAGCTTTGGTGGATGAGTTTGAAAACTCTTGGCCTCAGGAAGCTTTTGAAGGGGCACTGGAGGTAAAAGGTCGTCGGATGGACTTGCAGGGAATCCGAGTCCTAAAGAAAGGATCTCAGGATGGACTGGCTAGTTCCTGTTTTGGGGACTGTGGTGACGATGATGAAGCTGAATGGGTAAGTTTGGACGAGTTTACTTAAGTCTTCTACCAACTTACTGTTTGAAAGAGAAGGATAGTTCAGGGGGTTTAACACTGGAGTATGTATAGGAACTTCCCTTATAGGCCTGAAAGAGCTGGTTCATGGCTTGTGTGAAATGAACAAGTAGTTTCAATCCATCTTCTAAAGGAAGGGCCTCTGCATCGCTAAAACTGACATCATTTAGTCTGGAGAAGAGGAGGCTGAGGGAAGACTGTTGCTCTCTACAACTACCTGAAAGGAGGTTGTAGCAAGGTGTGTGTCAGTCTCTTCTCCCAAGTAACAAGCAATAGGACAAGAGGAAATGGCCTCATGTTGTGCCAGGGGAGGTTTAGATTGGGTATTAGGAAAAAATTCTTCACTGAAAGGGTTGTCAAGCATTGAACAGGCTGTCCAGGGAAGTGGTTGAGTCCCCGTCCCTGGAGGTAGATGTGGCACTTAGGGACATGGTTTAGTGGTGGACTTGGCAGTGTTAGGTTTACAGTGGGACTCAATGATCTTAAAGGTCTTTTCCAGTCTAAATGATTTTATGATCATAAGTCTTGATTATCAGCAGCAAGAGCTTAGGTGTTGAATGATGCTGGGTGCCTTCAAACTTCTTGCTCACAGTTACAAAGGAGAAAAGTATCTAACCAAAAGTTCCAGTTAGCATGAAAACAATGAAATATCTGTTGTCATCGTGTTACAAACAAAATATATAATGAAAAATGCCTTTCAGTTCTCTAGCAGTTAAATTGGGTTTCTCTTATGTTGGAGACTGAAGTTGGTACTTCGCTTCCATGGTGTGATGCAGTGAAAGTGAGCAGGCTTAGGGAATGGGTTAAGATGGGAAGGGAGGGAGAGAGAGAGAAAGATCTCATCTGTGACATCTCTGAAATTGAATCTTTGGGCTAAAACAAGTAGTGTACTGGGGCTAATAACATTCATGGTGTTTCTTACTGTTAACCTTGCCAATACTGTTCTTTTGGTAGATCACTTTTCAGGTCAAACGTTTAAAGAAACCAAAAGCTGAAAGCTTGGATCTCCAGGAGCCAGTTGGGAGAAATGGGGAAGAAGGGACTAATGGAGAAAATGAAAACTTTTACCAAACTGCCCTGGAGATCAGTGGACCAAAGATACCTTCTCCTGGACCAATAGGTAACCTCCTGTTTCTAGAGAAAGCAAGTCATTTGCAGCTTTTGTATTACTCTGGTTTATTTCCTTTGCAGTTTTTATATTACACTGGTTTATTACCATAAATATGCGTCACAAAGACTATGTAATGAAATATGCCTTCTAGATGAGTACATGGAAAAATTAGAAATCATTTCCATCTTCTTCATGAAGTGCAGCGTAACTTTGCTGAATGAAAACTTTCTAGTTAATTCACAGAACTTCTGGGAATGAGGTGGTAAGAGTGGAGAACGAAGGAGGTGGGTATTCTGAGTAGAAGTAGTAAAAGAGAGAGGGGGTTTTAATGACCTTTTTCTTAAAATAACTTCTCTGCCCATTCAGTTTTAATCAGATGAGACACACCCCTTCAGGGACAAATGCAGGATGAAAGCTTCAATTTGATTCCTGACTAAACATAAGACACACAACTCGAAAACAAAAGGCAGAAAACTTGGTCTAATAAAAATTAAAAAAAAAGTTAAGTGGTCTGCTGTAATTGGTTTGGTATTATAAGAGAAAACTTACAGACCGTCTTCCAGAAGACTGGAGTTACAAGAGTAGAGTTTTGCACCAACACAGATGAGGCAGTTTGGAGAGAGAGGTGGGGTTTTTGCTAGTTGAGAAACAGGGATTGGAGAGTGGTCTATTATTATGGTGCAAGCTAGTTCCACTGGTGTGTTCAGGTGGACAGAAATCATCAGCACAAGATTGCTTGGGATGAAGTTTAGAGCTGCTGGAGCCTAACAATGCCAAAGAAGAGAACCAAAGTGATTTGCCCCCATACTTTTTGTCTTACCTTGATTTCAGTGAAGGTAAAATCTTTATGTCATAGGGCCGATGTGTAAGCAAAGATAGGTTCTCCAATACATTTTAGTCCTTGACAATTTGATGACCTAGAAAGTGATTTCATGTTTTCAAGGCTTTTACATTAAATCTTTAACAACCTCCTTTTTTAACAACTGAGAAATGTAAGTTACTGAATTAAATATTTAAATAGGGGGGAGGAATTACATGAAAACAGACTGTCATTTAAGAGCACACACCTGTCCTTTCCTTGATGTATCTTCTCTCCCCCAAGCTACTTTTGTGGCTTTATTACACAGCATCCCTCGGTTGTAAAGTAGTTGTCTTCCTAATGCTCCTGTGAGGCAGGGTCCACTGACATCCTCTTTACAAGAACTAAATCATCAAAAGTGTAAGTAACGTATTGGAGGTCACCTGGGGAGTTTCTGATAGAACAGGGAAATGACAGTAGCTGTCCTGTGTTTGACTACCTCTCAGACTACTGAACTGTCTCTCTGTAGTCTTTCCATACCTCTCACTAGCTTTTGCTGTTCATGCAAATAAGAACTCACAATCAGATAGTTCACAGTGGTAGTGATGAGAACTGATCGTTCCCCTCTGAAGTTCCCCAGTGTTTCTCGAAGTTGATTTTCCTTTAATCAGAATACTTTACAAAAGACACAGTGTTACTGACTTCATCATTATTTTGCAAAATTATGGTGAAGCATTTTACTCTACCTTGAATGGGAAATAGGATTTGCATCCAAATGGGCAAAATTTCAGGTAACTAGAAATAAATACTTAAAAATACTGCCTACGTAGCTGGTGCAGTAGACTGGCACATTGTTAAACTTTGCTGCCCACTGTGCAAGTTTATGGCTACAATGAATTTTTCTTAGGTTCCAAACAGTTCCGATGTTTCTGATATGAGAGGAAAATGTTTCCTAACAGTTAACACAAGCTGGATTCCTAGGACTTGGTACAGTATCCACCAAATGTATGGGAAAGATTTCAGTAGGTTTTGGTTCAAATGTGAAGATCAGGTTCTTGTTTCTCCCAGTGATCTATTTGTTAACATAAAGCAAGTTATTTAACCTCTCCCTGCCTCGGTTAACTTCTCTGCAAAATGGGAGGGCTGAAGTGTAATTGCTTAATAGTTTCAGAAATGTTGCTATCTTGAGTGTAAGAATGCAGTAAAAGCCACTGTCTGTCTTACTGCCATTTCTTTTCAATGAATATTATTTTTCCCCTGGGATCGTCAGAAGATGGAGCAATCAACTTTTATTAGTTTTTACTGTAGCTGTAGAACATAAATGATGACTCACTTATGAACTTTCTTTAAGGACATTTAAGTAGAGACACTACCTGTAAACAAGAGTGGCGATTGTTCTTAATGTGTAGCTATTGAAAAAATGTAATGAAGCAGGTTTTAAAACTCCATCTCCTAACATGTCTTGCATAGGATCCAGTTCTGTCTGGGGATCCCACAAGTTCCATTCAGTCCATTTAGGTTCAGGAATGTTCTTAAAGAAATACGGCTGCAGGACTGTGACTTCTATAACATACGGAATATATCCACTGGTATAAAATATTTTGTATATCATTGTACTGAAGTAGAATGCTTCCAGACAGTTTCTTCTTATTTTTTTTTCTTTTCCCCTCCTTTCTCAAGGAAAAAGGCGTGACTATCGTAGCCTTGGCTGGCCAAGTCCTGATGAATGCCTGAAACTCCGTAGGGTAGAGCTTACAACTGTAGCCAGCACATGGCTTGCTGTTTCTGCTAAAAACATTGAGTAAGTATCTTGTATATGAACCTTAAATAAGTTATTCACACAAAGCAAGACAGTTACATGGCCTTCAGTGTGCATAAACTAAAGATTTTAGTGTTCTTTAAAGTAAGAAAGAACTGCCAGGATTTCAAAGAAGTTTGAAAATATTATGTGGTATTTCATCAATAGACTTGCAAAGAAAAGTGCAACTGCAGATGGAAGATCCAGTTTCTCTTGCTTCTGGAGCTACTCAAATGAGATTCTGCCAGGTTCTGGGCAGTTTACACTTACTAGAGAACTTTGTAATGACTTTTCTGTTTTCTTCTCCTGACTGATTCAACTTGTTTTATGACCTTTGTAGCATTACAGAACACATTGATTTTGCCACACAGCTGCAAGAACCAGCCATGGAGCCCCTTTGTAACCCAAATCTACCAGCCAGTATGCATACTTTGGACCACCTGCAAGGTGTCTCTAGTCGGGCCAGCTTGCATTACACTGGAGAAAGTCAACTGAAAGAGGTATGCCAGAGTTGAAGGCTGTCACACAAAAATGGCCGTACCATGGCAGATTCAAGGTGCATTTGGCTTTGTGCCCTGTCTCCAGAAGTGACCCTCAGTGAGTGAATGCCTGGATAAAACTGTAAGAGCAATGCAAGCTGAAAGTGGTATTTTACCAGCATGTTTTCCCAGCCATCTATGATCTCGCCTGAGGGAAATCCTAAAACACCGCTTAGTGTCTTTGTATTTACAGCTCTTGATGGATGAATTGGTGAAAGAAAAGTCCAACTGAGCATATACCGTTCTTAGTATTCAGTGCCATGGAGTTATAACACTGTGTGATGATACAGATAGTATTAATGCATAATAGACATGTTTAGGTCGGAACAGGTTACAGTATTTGTAAAAGACTGGGGAAAAAAGTAACCAACAAGTGAGGGACATCTCTTACCAGGTTCCAACATCTAAGCACTTGTTCTTCCTCTTCCACAGGTGCTACAGAATCTGGGCAAAGACCAGTACTCACCACAGTCATTAGAACAAGTTGGTACTCGAATAGCCAAAGCTTTGGAAAAGGTATGTGTAAATGAGAAAAATCAGAAGCCTGGGCTTGCTTCTCAAGACTGACGTAGTGGTCAATCCAGTCTCAAACCATTTGTCTGAAATCCCAGTCAAGGAACATGTTAGTACTTGGGGTAGGGATTTGTGTCTCTTCAGCATCTATAATGCCCTCACAGGTATTTTGTTGAGCTGTATCCTGTGCTTACACTGCCAAGTGTCTTGCATATCTCTCTACTAAAGCCTAACCTTGCCAAATTTCCCAGTGTTGCCAGACCTGTATTGAGCAGTGTTGCTGGTTGTTGATACATATTAAACTATTTCAACAGTTCTCAGCCCTCCTCTTTCTTTTTGTGCTGTGTTGACTTGGAGCTTATGGGAAGTTAAGCCATGGCTCAACTCTCCAGTCGCGCTCCTGGCATGCAGTAGTCAGACAGCTGATAGGCAGGGCTTCCGCTCTTCTCTGCCCGCTTCCTTTTACCTTGTGCAGTGTTGGGCTGAAGTGTCAGGTGCATTCAGGCAGAGGTATGGCACCATGTGCAAGGCTGTGGTTCCTGTTCTCCCCAGAGAAAGCCAAGCTTCCTCACTAGATTAAGGCTGCTAAGGACCTCAGCTGAGGTCCTTACGAGGAGATGATTAGGGACATAATTTTCCCAGGATCTATGAGGTAGATAAGGATGCAGGAATTGTTGTTATATGTTTACAGCTAGTGGGGAGCATATCCCAAACTACTACCAAAAAGAGGGCTCAGCCAAAACAGTTTGGTGCCCCTAGCCTGTTCTACCAAAAGCCATCTGAGGAACTTACTGTGCTTTGAAACTAAAGCCAATGTAGCTTTGTCATTCGCAGAAAGTAAAGATGTTACTCTTATGCTCATGCTTTTCACTTTAGATTATAATAACTTTTTCTCTTACATGCTACAGTTCTCCCTGCAGACAGCAAGCTTTATCCAAATAAGCTGAAAATGTAGTGCTGAGACCAGAAATAGAATAGCAAGGCTAGCTGTGTTGGAAACAAAATGCAGTTCTTCTGTCTACCAGTCTCATTCAGTATTCACAAGAGCTAATCAAACAAATCAAGATGGCTACTTATCTAATTGCATATGTGAGCATAAACATTCATTTACTGTATCTGAGTCCACAGAATTCAAGCACATAGTATTCTTTTCTAACACATGACATGGGAGTCAGCCAGCTAGAGGCACCAAACTTAATCAGCTAGGCTTGTCAGGCTTCTACTCTAAGCTGCATCCCAGAGCATCCTTTCTCTTTCCAGTGACTACAGAGAGCCTACGAGTCCAATCAGCTAACTTAGCTAAATTTTTTGCTTTATGTTGGGGAATGTGTATACACATCTAGATGCTCAGCATCAGACAGCTGGTTAGAAGCTGTTGTGGCTGCTGAAACTGTTGTTGCTGTTTAAAGCTATTTAGCTGCTATTCCTTTCTTAAGAAAATGATGTTGCATTTGGAATTTGTGTTTCATTTGGCAATCTCATTTACCTGGCTATTGCATATATGTTGTTAGGTAAGAAACTTGTTGCTGCTTTGAAATTGTTTAATGCTACTTTTAAGTGTAACACCCTCTAACACAATATATAAAATAAGTTGGAAGAGTGAAAGACAGGAAGACTGTCCCCTACAAGTGTTTACATGACTGATTTTTGTGTTCTTCTTTTGCCAGAATCAGACTTCATGGGTCCTCTCTAGCATGGCAGCTCTTTACTGGAGAGTGAAAGGCCAAGGAAAGAAGGCAATTGATTGCTTACGGCAAGCATTGCACTATGCACCCCATCACATGAAGGTGTGTACACGTGCCCACTACTCAGATGAAATAATGTTTTGCTTGTCACAATAGAGTTTTCACAGACAATTGTTAAGGCCAACAATGTGTATATCAAGTGTCTATAATGTATTGGATATTAGCTAGTTGTGGTGAAACCTCAAGACTTTCACCACCTGTTTAGTGTGGACTATCTCTTTTTAAAAAACAATAATAAAGAAAAGATAACTGTGAAAGAGGTTCAGAGGAATTTCCTGCAATTCAGTGGGTTTGACAACTCTCTTGAACTTCCCCCTGTTAGGTAGGACTTAGAATCTTCATCAGCCATTGTCTGGACAAGTCTTCTAACCTAAGATGTGGGGAGTATATTTTCTGGTTGTGCTTTTAAACAGGGGAGGAGGTGGTATCTAAATGAAGAACTTAAATGTTTAAATCTTAAGTGTTTGGGCTGTGAATCTCAGCTGGACACTAGTGCCTGACTTTGTGCAGCAGTTCTGTGCTTTACTCCAAAAAAGGCAGTACTTTGGAGTGTTTCAATTGACTAAAGTGCTTTGTACCCTTCACCTTGCCACATGGTATGGTGAGCATTATAATGTCTATTCTTGTACACCAAGATCCCCCTTGCAAACTGATAAATGCAATATAGGCTCCTCACTCAACATTGCAGATTTCACTTGGGACCTGAGCAACAAATTGTGCAGCACTGCAAAATGTATAGTCCTTTCTGAATCTTGGTCTTAAATCATAGAATCATAGAATCATCTAGGTTGGAAAAG